CGTAGCAGGAAGCTAGCGAAGTCGTAGTATATATCGTCACAAACAGAGGTAAACCGTAGGCAGAGAGAGAGAAGAGGACAACAATATATATATATATATCATATATATATCGTCACATATATATATATATATATATATACACCATGATTGAAGAAGGGCTCTCCACCCAATGAGATAATTGCACAACAACAAGCAAAATACTGAAAAACATCCTCTATCCACTGGGCCTATGGCTGATCCCGCCCTCTTTAGGGGTTGGCGATTCCCCCAACGAATTGAAAAAGATTTTGGCAGGAAGCTTCCCTTGCACTGGCATGCCCAGTGTTAAGGAGACGAGGAAGGGAACGAAGATCTCGGACCTTACTTTTTTGGGTAAATTAAATACATGTAAAATACTGACCGTGGGACCACGAGTACTGCAAGGCAGGATCTGAGTGGCACTCAACTGCCACACACTCTTTTCTATCCTATCCCGTTGCTTGTGGGACCATCCTCCAGACAAAAAGAAAAAAAGAAGTCCTTTGAAAAAACTGACCTACATGTCTGTGCACCACTAGAAAATCGGTCAAAAGTTCTTTGGAGACAAAAAAAAAAWAAAAAAATTGAAAAGAATCGTATCAAAGATTCGAGAGGATGGAAAATAAAWAAATTGAGAGGAATCCCGGAGACCCCCCCCCCCCCCCCCCCCSCMCCGSGCCCGTCCCAAAAAAGAAGGCGTTTCRAAAAGGACTTACAGGTATAGCAGAATTTCGAGCTGTATGAAGATCCAGCTCCGCAAGTTGTACTACGTGAGGTGGGTAAGTGGATTTCTCCGGCCTTCAAGGTCAGACCTTTCCCAGAAATGGAATGGCCTAGACTGACACCTACCAACGATAACGGAAGAACGGACATCATGATTTTCCCGATCTTAGATGCGGTGGTCAACCCGGCCGCCACAGTGCCGGCGCCTTTACCGGGCCTCCGTTGGTTGTCCTGGCCGTTGATGCAGAATCCGCAAAGCCAAACCGCCACGGAGACTCGGATTTACGATTGCTGGAATGGCAGCTTACTTACTCTTGTCGAATCAGCTATTCCCTGGCACAAAAGCTTATTTTCCAATAATTTTTTACATTTGAAATGTTTGGATTGGGATGATGCCATCGTTTAAATGGACAGGATACGATTGGCATCATGGAACGTGGGAGGGTTGGGATCCCGTAGGGTTGCAGTGAAAAGACCACTGATTACAACTCTAACCAGAAATACGGGAATACAGATTATGCTTTTGCAAGAAACCAAACTAGACGCGGTAGCCATAATGGAGCAGTTGGGATGGTGGTTTGGCCAACTGTTCTGGGCCCCGGCAGTGGGCTCAAGAGGGGGAGTTGCGATTTTATTTTCTCGTAACTTCCCCTTCCCGGTGACATATTACTACATGGACTTTGCGGGGAAATGGGTCTGGGTGAGATTTAAGGTAGGACAGGATCAGGATGACTGGGCAGTTTTTAATGCGTATGTGCCGTCCCGTCAACAGCCAAGATTGGATATTTTTAAATCTCTCCCTTGGCTGTTACCGGCGGTGGATAGATTAATTTTGGGTGGTGATTGGAATACCACCCTTGTGCCTGGTGTGGATTCGCCCAGAGTTACCCCTCTCTCTTCGGACGCTATTCTACTCTCTACGGCGATGGCAGATCAACGATTTGTTGATGCGTTCCGTCAGCTGCACCCCTGCCTCAGAGCGTACACCTATTTTGCCTCAGGCGCCAGCCATCAGCAGTATTTGCCGCGCAGCAGAATAGACTTGTTTTTTCTGTCAGAATGCCTTCAGCCCCTCTTAGCTAAATGTACTGTTGTCCCGTTTGGAGGATCGGATCATTTTCCTCTCTTGATCGAATGCTATCAGCACCCTCTGGTTAGAGCAGGTGTTGGTAGGAGTGTCCTCCCTGAGTGGGTTATAGACTCTGAGTATATGTCCCAATACATGCAAACTTTTTGGACCGACTGGGTCCTCTCCAGACCATTGTACCTCTCAGCGACTGCGTGGCTTTTGGGTGGATTGAGATCTGTTAAGAGTATGGGTCTCTTGTTCAAAAAAATTCTGTCAGTCGATCGTAGATCGGTTTTGGCTGAATTGAATGAACAAATGGCTCAATTGATAGAGTCGTCCCCTTTGGGTGAGATCACGCTGATGACACGTTTGGATTCGCTACAACAACGATGGACCGTGGAGGTATTGCCCGCGCTCAGGTCTGCTGCCAATAGAAACAAAGTGCTGTGGTTGACTAAAGGCGACAGAATGACTGCAGCTTTCTTCCGGGGTCATCGTCGCAAGTCAACACCATTGCTGATTAGAGCCATGGCGCACCCCACAGACCCGCTGGCGCCGGTGGCTGAGAGCACAGCAGGAGTGATGATGAACATCTCCTTGTTTTATGAAACGCTGCTGTCCTCGCAAGCGCAGTATACGGAAAACCAGTTAGTGACAGACTTCCATCACACACAGTGTGGTCCAAACTCCAGACGTCTCTTGCACTTGCGCAACGGGAGCTCTTGGATGCGGACATCACTGTTGATGAGGTTGTGCGGGCCTGCCGGGCCTTGCCAAGACATAAAGTCCCCGGGGGATGGACTGCCGGGGTATTTTTTCCGCAAAGATTCTATGCATTTAGCACCATCGTTGCTTACCATGTTCCACTCTATTTGGAACGGGGTGTCCCCCCCGTTGGACATGCTGACGGGGGTTATTTCTCTTTTGTATAAAAAGGGGGATGTGGCTGACGCGCGTAATTATAGACCGATTACTTTGATGCCGTCCTTATATAAGATATTTGCTAAAATCCTGGCGTCCCGATTGCAGACGGTCTTGCCAGACATCATTCATCCATCATAGACTGTTTTTTTTGTGCGGAAGGCAGATTCTGCATAACGTAATGACGGCGGAACAGATAGTGGAACTGGTGCTCTCAGGGGAGGGGCACTATGCGATCATATTATTGGATTTAGAGAAGGCTTATGACCGAGTGGGGTGGGAATTCTTGCAAGCCACTCTCACAGCGTTCGGTTTTGGGCCTAGGTTTAAAGCAGGTGTGGTGGCTATATGTAACAATAGCAGATCTCACTTGATCGTTAACGGAACTTTATCCCCGCCGATCCAGTTGACGAGGTCGGTGCGGCAAGGTTGCCCGTTGGCACCTTACCTATATATTTTGTACGTTGAGGTGTTTCACACATTGATTAGAACTAATAACGATATACCGGGATTGGTTTTACCACTGGGACAACGGTTTAAATCGGAAGCTTTCGCTGATGATGCATTGGCGGTCATTCCCCCCACAGACGAAGCGTTTGAGGCTCTGCAGGACACAGTGGAACATTTCTGTCATGTTTCGCAGGCATCCGTTAATTGGGATAAATCTGCTGTGTTGATCCCGCCTGGAATGCAACCTCCCCATCACTGGGGTATGAGACTTATCATGCCCAATCAGCATGACCGCTTACTTGGTCACACAATTTCCTTTACACAACACTTGATGTCTGATTCGGCACAGGTATTGGCATCTGCCCACAAAGCGCTGGCCCCTTGGGTTCAACAAAAGGGGGTCAGCCCTTTTGGCAGAGCCGCAGTGATCAATAATTCGGTGCTTTCTACTGTCTGGTACCAGCGGGCTCTTTTCCAGTTGAGTCGGGCGACACAAACTGCACTCTTGCACATTCTGTCACATTATCTATGGAAAGCAGAAGATAGTGATGCTGCGTTCTTGACCAAAGTGGCATGGGCCACTGTCTCCCAACCCAAGAGATTGGGTGGATTGTCTGTTCTGGACCCAGAGCGACAGATAGAGGCTCTGTTAGCGCGATGGGTGCCATGGGCAATTCTGTCTGGTCCATCTTGCCCATGGCGACAGTTGGCGGATCTTTTTCTCGCAAAAACTTGGAATTGGCGAAATGATAGGTGTGTGTGGAATGCAACCTGCATTCCAGCCTATTTGAGAAAGAAACTGCCCAACGGGGTTTGCAAAGGCATCTTGCACGCATGGAAAAACTGCACCCCGCAACTGCGTCCACCACCGTTGATTATGGTATGGAACGTATTCTTGCTCAGCCTCTCTTCGAAAATCCTTGTATTCTGGCAGAAAATGCTCTGCCTTTTGCCTGTTTCGGACAGGGAGCGTTCAGGGATTCCTGGATGGGTAGAGGGGTTGGGACGATTTGGGACATCTGGGACCTTCATACGCAGGATTGGAAAACTGTGTTGCAACTGTCTGACAAGCTGTCTGGTCTCAGACACCAAGCGCTGCATTTGGCAGTGCTGTGTGATGCAGTGCCGCCCTCATGGACTGACACGTTGAGAGCGGGCAAAGTGTTGTGTGCGGACAACTGGTACAGAAAGTCGGATGATGAACTGCCCACACATCTTTGGAAAGTTGAGAGTGTGCTGCAGTCCGGGCAAGCGCGGGCTTCAACTTGGAAATTGCACGGTCTGCAGCAGTCTTTGGGCCAACCATTGCTTCTTGAAGACCAACAAATACCTCTTCCTCCGCTGTCGGAACTTTTAGCGGTGTGTGTGTTGCAGTATCAAGACAGTGCTCGGCCTTTTGCAGTTTCTATTCCGGCCAGTGAGTTGCCACTGGATCCGCAGGATTGGCGGTGGAAGCATCCGCTTAAACCCGCGAACCAGGTTAGTCTTTACGAATATTCTACGAAATTGGGGTATCAGTTGGCTAGGCCTGATTTGGACATTGGATGGAAGGTGGCTAGACGCTGGGTTGCTTCTGCTTGGGTGATAGACACAGCGGACCGGCTGGCTTCGGCATTGCCACGATTTTGGAAATTGCTGTTGGACCTCTCAGTTGTTAAACAAGCCAGTCTCCTGTGGCTTACTATGCATCAGGCATTGCCTACGGCTGCCTGGTGTGCTAAAAGAACAACGAAAGCTTCCCCCTTGTGTTTTATCTGTTCAGGAACCAGAATAGAAGACTTGCAACATATGTTTCTGCATTGTGACTTGTCAAGAGCCTTTTGGGAATGGTGGAGGGGGGATGTCCCCCCGATTCAGCACAATGCTTCGAGATGGACTGATGACTTCATTCTATTGGGTAATGCATCTCGTAGACAATCGACTATCGGACCGTTGGGGTACGCAGAAGAGACACTGAGAGGAGCGATCCTCTGGACACTGTGGAACTTGAGAAACTCTGCTGTCAGAAGAAAAGAACACATTACCCCTCCTATGGTTAGAGCAGAAGTTAAATTCAATATCAAACAGGCTATTGTTACAGAAGTTAAATTCAATATCAAACAGGCTATTGTTACAGACTGGACACATAAAGTAGTCAAAAAAGGGCATCAAACCAAACCCATGAATAAGTTCTATTCGCACTGGGCACGGTTCTCAGGATTGGTCACAGTCACAATTGGTGTCACTGGGGCACCAGAACTTTCGTTTACATCCTTCTTCTTGTAGAACAATAGCGAGATACAGTTTGTTTACCTTGTTCATTTTGTTCGTTTTCTGCACAGTCTCTGACTACTTAATCACCGCTGTGCCATTGTGTGGATACAGATGTATGTAATTTGGGTGATGTAGTTGCTTCTTTGGTTCCTCGGTTTACACGGATCAGTAGGTTGTTTTCTCTGTTCGCTCTGTTCACCTTTTCAATGGCTTTTTCAAATTGGTTGCTTTGTMGGTTGCTTGGTTGACTGTATACGTATTGAGTGTTACTGTTTAGTTACTGTTTAGCTGCTTTTGGTTTACATTACCTGGTTAGTCTAGAGGGTGGCGTTCTGAATAGAGGTGGTCACCATTGTTTCCACAGCCCGGACTCGCACCCGGCCGGAGTAGCAGGGGGCATGCCTTGGGCTGTTCAACTTTTGTGAGGGACGCCGGGCCCKTTTCCCGGCATTKTTAAAAAAAAAARTYTTTYTTTRAAAAAAAAAAAAAAAAAAAAAAAAAAAAAAGTTAAATTTGTGGCTATTTTAAATTTTCCGAGTTACCCGCCGGGCTTAAATAAAAGGGGTGTGATGTAAAATCATGTAATTTAGGTTTTTTTTTTTTTTTTTTTTTTTCCAGATTCCATAACGAATTCCAGGGTGACGGTCAGCAAAAAAAAAAAAATTGTGGCTATTTTGAATTTTCTGAGTTACCCGCCGGGCTTAAATAAAAGGGGTATGATGTAAAATCATGTAATTTAGTGTTTTTTTTTTGTTTTTTTTTTTTTCCCCAGATTCCATAACGAATTTCAGGGTGACTGTCAGCAAGAAAAAAAAATCAAAAGTTGTTGGATTTGCAATTCTGCATGACATAGGTTTTGTTCTTTTTTCTTTTTTTTTTTGGGGGGGGGTGCTGGGACTGACCGGGACCTTGACCGGTACTTTGAAATGCGCCACCTAGGACTTTGCCTGGGGACTTGGCCCGGCCGGACCACCGGGGCCAATCTGAGGCAACCTGGGGGCGACGTCCCACTAGCAAAGAGGATTGGATTGAACGCCTTAAATTTGACCGCGTTTGAGGACAAGTGCAGAAAATCGAGATTGAACTCCTTTTCTGCATCTCTTCCTAAAACACGCCCAGATTCAGGATCTTAATCCAATCCCCTTTGCTAATGGGACCATGCTCCAGGTGGCCCTGGTAACATACCTTTTTTCCTTTTCTCCTTTTTTTTCTTCTTTTTTCCCCTTTGTTTCCTTTTTTTTTTTTGTACTTTTTTCCCTTTTTTCCCTTTTTTTTTTTCCTTTTTTTCCCTTTTTTTTCCTTTCCCCCACCCCTTTTTTCCCCTTTTTTTTCCTTTTTTTCCCCTTTTTGTTTTCCTTTTTTTCCCCTTTTTGTTTTCCTTTTTTTCCCCCCTGTTTTTTGGCGAGGGGGATACGAGTGTCTTTAGGAATTGAAAAAATGCAGAGCAGCTGAAAATTGTCCTTTTGGCGAGGGGGAAACTTCAAAAAAGACTGCAACAAAATTTCTGAAAATTGTCCTTAAAACTCCTGACTACTGAGTCCTTACCAGATCCATTTTCCTTATTGGTTTTCGCCTCCTCTCCCCTCTTTTTTTCTCCTTTTTTTGAATTTTTTTCCTTTTTTTGAATTTTTTCCCTTTTTTTCCCCTTTTAAGGATGACACCCTCGGCACATTATCAGAGAACTAACAGCCACAGATACTCCAATCTTCTGTCGAACGTTCAAAAAAAATAAAAAATAAAAAATCCTTCTGTCGAATGTGACAAGACGTGGCCTTCTCAGCCAGGGTGCCCTTGGTAGCCTTCAGGAGAATGGTCCGAACCCCATTTCCAGCGAAGTGCTGCTCTCCACTAATAGATTGAATCCCCCTCATACCAGGGACC